AACTGTGGTCTAACATCATTAGGACTATGTGGGGGAACTATTTCTGATAACAGACCCTTTAATTTCCAAAAAGCTAAGTAAGCAAAAAACTTTTCCAGTGTTTCCAGGCGGTAATAGATGAACTGGTATTGAGGAGGAGGAGGAGGTGATGTGTCTCCCACACTTTCAGCAGTTTCTTCTCCTTTTCCCTCCTCCACTTTCACTTCAGCTGTACTTTCTGCTTGCTGAGCACATTTGCTGTAAAGTATACAAAGTTTTTTTTCTTTTCTCGGTTGGAGTATAAATCAGCTTTGCACAGCAGGGAAAGAGAAAGTAATGACGGCAGCGGTGCTTTACCTGTGTGGTGGTCGAAGGCCACCGAAGCTAAATGACAAACAGATGCCAGTTAATGAGCTGGGGGAGGCGGAGAGGCGACTTCTGACTCTGCAGACACAGAGAGAGAGGAAGGAGGACGCTCAGACAGGCAGGGAGACAGCTGGACAGGTGTCTGTACCTGCAGACCGATGGACATTTATGAGCATTGATCACTTTGAAGCTCACTGTCAACAGTCTGCAGGTCGGACTCCTGTAAAATAAAGGAACCAGGTGAGATTCTCGTCCCTCAGGGTGACAACAAGGACAAAAGAGGACAAGACTACATGGGGGCAGAGTCACAGAGTCATGTGTAGTTAATTTTGAGAGTTTTTTAGGTCAGAGTGAGTGTTTTTTTTATGCGCTTCTACCTCAGTAAGTCCACAACACAAACTCAAAACTTCCATACAAACCGTGGACACTTAAAGGATTTTATAAACTCCCCCAGACAGGCCGGACAAGGTCGGACAGCCCCCAAAAAAGAGGACATGTCCGGGTAAAAGAGGACGAATGGTCACCCTACTGTCTCTGTATCTGACCTATATCTTAGAGACACTTAGAAGACTAAATCAAACATCGTTTCTGCAGAGAGTTTGTCATGACTGTGATGGAGGGCGGAGCGCAGACACACAGGCAGGAAAAAGTTCAACTTCAGCTGTAAACAAACACAATCCGCCACATTTCTGCACATTTGTGTTTTTGGAAGATCAGGAAACAACTTTATTTTCTGTTTAACTTCTTTGTTTTCATTTTGAAAAACGACAGATTTCCTCGACTGTCCTGTTCACACATATACTCATATAATGTAAAGTGTAGCTGGTGCTGCACAGTAAATATGATATAACCTCACCACCACTCAGCATCATCGTCCAATCACAGAGGCTCTAAACTCTCCAAACCCAGCCTCATGCCCCCACTGACGCCGCCGCCGCTCTCTGCACTTTCCTGGAAACAGCAGGAGTCTCCGACTGAAGCCATCCTGACCCTTTAATAACAGGCTTCACCTCCTAAAGCTCTTCATTACGCACAGATGAGACGCCGCCGGCTGCCAGACCCCCAAATTCCTTCATCCTTCATCCCTCTGATATGACGGCTGGGAACACAAACACCAGACACACACACACACACATTCACACACAAGCAGTTTGAGGGATGGTGTGTGTTTCCGCTCTTTGTGACGGGGGCTAAACGCCTCCTGTTGGAGAAACGTGGCAGTGCACATATAGAGAAAAACACCTGGGAGAGACTTTTTAACACAATTTTGTTTGGGGGTTTTTTGTAGTCAGGTGCAAATATGACTAAATTCTAACAAAAGGTTTCTCAGCTGTTTTTTATAGTATTAGATGTCCTTCATAACAAACTAAAAGTTTGTTAAAGTTTGACCGCTAGAAAGGTGTCTTTTTTAAGATGATTAGCTAACTAGCTAATTATTGACTTAATATGAGACTAGTCTGAGCAGCTGTGATGAATGAGAGCTTCCTGAACCTCGAACCTTCTCCAGAGCCCCACCCCCAAACATCATACACCTTCACGTCTTCTCTGCTCCGTCCACAACACTCGTCAAACTCTGAGAACCTTCACTGGAACAATATTTGAGGTTCGTCCAACAACTCCATAAAGGAGTGAACAGGTGCAGCAGACGATCAATACGACTCGATCAGGCCTGCTGGGAATTTAATCATGTTCTCCACGAAAACAACAGGTGATCTCACACACACACACACACACACACACCTGCCAGAGATGAAGCGAAAGCCTTGTGAAACTTTGATGCGTCGCTTGTTGCAGCTGTCAAATTTGGCAGAACTACACACACACACACTCTCTCACACACTCACACACTCAGAGCCACGGGTGTTATTTAATGACAGTGTCAGCGGGGTCAGCGGGCAGATCACCTGGAGGATTTGACGGAGGATTCCCACTGACTGTCTGACCTTTACACACTCACACAAACACACACACACACACACACCCGCTGAGCCCGGCCTTTACTCCGCTGAGGCCGTCCTGCGTTCGTGTTGATATTCGCATTTAGACGAGCGTCGACGTTAATGAAACAAGATGAGGTTAAAACCCCAAACATGACAAAGACGATTATAACAAACAACCTGAAGATTAACACAAATGACAGCTGATGAGACTTTAATCATAACCCTGTCTGAGTGTGTGTGTGTGTCTGTGTGTGTGTGTCAGTAAATGTCATCAAATGTCTGAACTCACGCCATCTTTTTACTCTCCTATGTGTCCATCATGTCGTCGACTCTATATTAAGACCTGCGACAAAAAGGTCAGCTCACAGGCGGCGATGTCATCTTCATAAACCTATCAGGTGAGCGCTGACGTGTCCGACCGTCTGCAGCCCATCATGAAACCTGATCGGTGATGGTCGTGGACCCGCAGGTTCTTGTTGCATTTGAAGGATCAGAGTGAGGGTGCGACTGGGACTGTATGAGGGTTCGACGTGTCGTGAAGACTGACATGAGGGCTGTGTCGCTCTGTGTGAGTAAACAAAGGTCCTCCTCTGTTTATTTGACTGGACGGTGTGATTTAAAAAACAATACTGTTGTTTCTAAGAGGGTATAACCCCCAGAAAGTATCAGGGGACGGGCGAGCGGGTTTCCTCTCTGCAAACTCGGGTCAAGATGAGGTTGTGACGCCGTTATGGTTTCATGTGAATTGAAATGTATCACCTCATCCTGTTGCATTATGGTTAAATGTGTTTCTGATGGGCTGCAGGTCGTGTTTGTGTTTGTGTGTGCGGTCCTCCAGGTTTCCCCGGCATCCATCACCGTGGCAGCGGCAGACAAACCAATCTCCTCCCTGTCTCTTCCCATTCCATCACAGCGCTCCAACCGGCGGCTCCGGCGGTCGACCGGCCCTCATGAAGACACATGGGGGACGGATCAGCTCACAGTGAGGTGGACTAACTGAGCTCCACTCTGTTCCCATGTGACCCAGAGCTTCAATTTACCTTATATGTATGTGTGTGTGTGTGTGTGTGTGTGTGTGTGTGTGTGTGTGTGTGTGTTCACAGCTGAGGTGAAGATGTTTGAAAGTGAAGACCTCGGGCGTTTTTTCTCATTTCTGATGCGTTACTTCAGCAGGAATGGATCATTTCTGTCATTCGCAGTGATTTAACGCGCCGAAAAATAATCATACTTCAGGATTTACCAGGCTGCACGATTTTTTAAAAAAGATTTCAAATCATCTGAAACTGTGAAGTCGTACCAATTCAACACGACTGACTCGCTCTTGTCTTATTTAACCATGAAATTATCGCCTTCTTTTGCAAACGCCATGTTTGTTTACACTGGTGCGTGTGGGAACTGGGAAGCGCTCTCACAGGAAGGGGGAGAAGCCTACGGTGGCCTGGCGGCATGAGACATGAGAGGAAAATCCATTTTAATTTTTTTACATCTTTATCATCAAATAACCTGATTACGATTTTAAATCAATTAATGGTGCAGCCCTACTCCAGAGGAATGAAATCATTCAAAACAACATCTAGGATGCTTCTCTTTCTCAAAACACAAGCCACGAATATTCGCCAAAGCAGAAACCCAAACACGTCTGGATCTTACCCAGCGTCTCTGCTCACACAGTTATCCTGAAACCGTGTGGATCACAGGCTGTGTAAACCTGGACTTATCCTCGCTGACGTTACCGTGGCTGAGAATCGCCGCTGATCGGACTGAGTTAATCAATTTTACAAAGCGAACAGATCGAGCAGGTTCCATGTTTAGTTATTTGTTCCTGCTGAGAGAGTGATTGGACCAATCAGCATCAGTCGAGGAGAGAGAGACGTGGATAGTGAACTAATGAAATACAAGAACAGGGTGTTGGAAACAAGAAAATGAAGATAAGCACATTCAAAGATTTCTTAGTCTTCGTCGAGCTCTTCTGTTAAAACTGAATGTTTAAGGAAAATCTAAATTATTGGCTGCTGCATATTGACACTGTTACATAAAGTATAAGAGCTCAAATAAGAAGACCGAGTTCTCACTAAGTGTTCTTAGCTACGTAGTTTTTTATGGTGAAGTCTGATTTGACCAACATGCTGACGCTCTGCAGGCTCCAAAAGATCCCTCCTAATATCCGCATCATTTCAATCAGTTAAGTCCCCACTTCAGCTGTGCATTTTACGTCATTTCCACAGTTTCAAAGAGGCTCTTATATTCTGGGAGGAAATCAGAGATCAGCAGGACGTTTGATTAATGAGGAAAAATCCAAACACTCAGGCAGGACAAAAACCTCCAGAAAATCACCGTCAGAATTAGGCTGATTGCAGATTACACATACAGCTGCTCTCCATTAACGGGGACACTTCATGGAGATTTGGCGTGCGGCTCTTAAAATGAAACACACAAAATAATGACGAATAGATGCAGCAGCTGACCAGCAACTTTAGTGTTTAGCAAGTTTAAGAGACGGGTGGCTTTAAAGGGGATCCATCCAGACTTCTGGGTATGGCACAGAGCTGAATGGCGGGATAATCTAGAAGCTCCCAGAGGGTTGATCCTCCCCCAACAAATTTAGGACAGGGGATGGGAAGGAAGACCAGGGGATAATCGCAACAAAACGCAGACCTACAACACGAAACTTTGGATAAAGACGACAATATCAACGATGGGTCTGAACATGAGGCTATGGAGGCTGTTCAAGGAAGCATAATCGCTGAGATACAGGCGGCACGGGCGGAAGTAAAGAAAGATTTCACCGACACTATTGACCTACTGAAGAAAGAACTGGGGGATTTCCAACACGAAATGGGTGGAAAGCTGAATAAAGTGGTCGCCGACATAAAGGAAATCAGAGAGAGACTCGCGGAGACTGAGCAGAGGGTGGCGGACATGGAGGAGATGAACGCAGAGAGCAGAGAGGCTCTAGCTCAGAGAAAGTTCTAGCTCAGCTCACGGACCTGACACTCGCTTAAGGAGAAATAATAAACGTATTCACGGCGTTCCCGAGGGGCCAAAGGCGATAACATACAGGACTTAAAGGGGATCCATCAGACCCTTCAAAAACCATCCGATATGAACAGAATCCTGAACTTTTGCTCTGATCGTTTATTAAAACTCAAAACTAGGAAGAAAGAGGAGGCGGGGTCAAAGGTCAAAGAAACAAAAGTACAGAGAGTGTTCATGCGTGATGGATCCATACTCTGTTATGATATAAACCTGTAAGTAAAACAAACATACAAACTTAATCCAAAGGTGAAGATATTTCTGTGTTTGTGTCGAAGTGTCACAGAGAAACCGTTAGTATGGACAGCAGCGCCCCCTGATAACACATTTATCTCAGTGTCTCGAACCGCCGTCACATATTGATCCCCTGATTGAGAATCAGACACAAAGGGCCCCAGGAAGAATCTGTTGCATTATCCATGTGTCTGACTCATACAAACACAGATCCATCAAGGATGAGCGCGGCGCCGCAGCAGCGGCTAAATGTCAGCCTTTGATGCCCGCTTTGATTTTGATCTGATATTCAGCGCACGTCAACCTCACGGCGGCGTGATTCAGAGCTGGAGGAAGCGGCTGGAGTCCTGTCACGGCTCGAATCAAAGCTGCTCCTCCTCACAGACGACCTCTGCTCCCCCCCAATATCCTGCAATTATGTGGTTTATTAAAAGGCCCCTGTCAGGGGTCCAGGAGGGTGGGCATGAATCTGCTGTCAGCATTAGCTGAGGTTTCACTCTGTGACCCTGATCTGTTCCTGATCTCTGTGGACGGACAACGCCAGGACTGACGGCCTGATACTTCTGATGACTGTACGTACGAGGTCAACACTGTGGTTTTCTCTACTTTTATATTTGATACTAAATTTACTTGGACAGAATTTCTGGGTGCGGCCTGGGGGTGGAGGGTGTCCATTACGGCAGGCAGAGGATCGCGTTGCTGCTTTTTGCGGGTAATAAGTTCTTCTAGCTTCGTGGAGCAGTGACCTTCAGCTCTTGCTGGGGCGGTTCACGGTCAAGCGTGAAGCGGCTGGGATGCGAATCAGCACCTCCAAGTCCGAGGCCACGGTTCTCAGTCAGAAAAAGGTAGATCGCCTTCTCCAGGTCGGAGGGGCCGTCCTGCCTCAAGTGGAGGAGTTCAAGTATCTCAAGATCTTGTTCAAGAGTGAGGGTAGGATGGAGCGGGAGATCGACAGGCAGAGTGGAGCGGCGTCAGCAGTGATGCGGACGCTTAACCGATCTGTCATGGTGAAGAAAGAGCTGAGCCGTGAGGCGAGACTCTTGATTTACCGGTCGATCTACGTGCCGATCCTCACCTATGGCCATGAACTTTGGGTAAAGAGCGAAAGAACAAGATCGCGGATACAAGCGGCTGAAATGGGTTTCCTTCGCTCTCTGCACGGAAATACAGAGAGCACTCTGGCTTCAAATTCGTATACTGACAGAAGTTGTCCGTATAAATATATGACATTTGAATCTAAGCCATCCTAACAGGTGACCATTCTTCTGCTTTTGCCTTCACTGAACTTTGTTTCTATCATCAACAGAGAGTTAAAAGTCGATGGAGTTCCTTAGCAGTTCTGATCAGGGGTTGGGGCAAAAATCGATGCATGTCAGACTCTCACTACTTAATTCTTATAATCCTAAACCAGCAAATCAAGATCTAGATTTGATTTCTTCTTCCTGTTTCACTTTATAATAGACCTGAACCTCTGTACGCCTTTAGTAGGCGAGTTTTCTGACTCCAGAGCGTACAGCTCCTTTTTCTGTAAAAAGATCGACAAGAACACTGACAGCATGTCAAAGCTTTGTTGGTGTGATTGTTTCCTTTGGGTTCAAAGTCTGTCAAACACTCATGAATCAACACGCCAACACCCTGAGCTGTGAACGCTGCATGTGCTCTGCATGAAACTGATATGTTGATTAATTTAATAACATCTACCCTCACACTGCTGGTCTTGTTTAGGTATTTGCATGAACTGAGCGCGTGCAGCATGATGAGATATGTCTTTATATATCTCATCATGCTGCACACACACACCGAGTCATTCACCTTATAAAGTGTGAGAGGAGACAAACCAGCAGCAGAACACAGCCTGAGAGCAGAGCGGGAAAACGAGTCCATTTCCTGCTGCTAATGGGAGAGTCAGCCGCACGCCGCCGCCACCGCCACCGAGCAGATATTAACTGAGAACAACTTCCACTGAGATTACCATGCAAATCATCGGGTTACAGACCGCGGCGCGAGGTCGCCTATTTGCATTGAAAACAGAGTAATACTCTGCTCCATTAGGTAAACACACATCAGAGGGTGTGATGGAGGCTCCAGTGTTTACAGTGACCCGATGTCTGCAGACGACAGTAACATCAGACAGATTTATGTCCCTGAACGCAGCATTTAGAGCGCCACCGTTCCACAAACTGCCTGTGTGAGAGGTATTATGCTAAACAGACAACGTTTGGAAACAGTTATGAAACACATCAAGAGGCAAAACAAAGGGATTAAAGTCAGAGTGAATGATAATACGGCAGTTTCCAGACAATTACAGTAACCCCGACCAGGAAGCTTCTTTATGCACGTCAGCAAAGCAGGTTTAGCCGCAGTGCAGCCCTGACATCTCAAGAGATCATACGTACAGAGCGACCCCATTACAGGGAGGTCAAACATCATCAGGATTTCCTGTCATATTTCAGGCTTTTCAGTGATATGAGCATCAGGACTAAGACATATTATAATTGGATCATTTTCTGATTGAAAGGAAACTATGATAGTGAGACGACAGGGAGACAACAGGTCATGTTTAGAGACAGAAAACACATTCGATAACCTGCAGATACAACCCGTGAGTTTGAGTCCTGTTGGATCCCTCCACTGACTCAGTTTAGGAGCAGATCAGCTCTGTTCTGTTTCTACATGTATTTAACATGTCAGACAGGTCGGGTCAGGTGTTCAGATTTCCTCAGTTCTGTCATTTTCGACACATGTAGCATCAGCAGCAGCATTAATAACCCTCTTTCACCCAGCATGCATTTTGTCAGGTTTGAGGCCGTGCGTGTTGGTGTCATCCCTCCAAGGACATGTGTGACTTTGGTGCCAAAGTACACCGCCAAGCCCAGATGGCTCATTAGGCAGGAGCAGGAGCCACTGGCACGCCGTAAAAAAACGAAAAACTAGAAATACAGCTCAGGCGGTGCAGAGATGACAAACCTGACAAGAGGCCAGAGGGAAGAGACAATGTCAGAATAAATCAGAAATCTGCCTCCTCACCTGCGTAGAGGAGGCCGGGTGCTTGTTTTGGCTCCTGAAGGTGCAGCGGGGAAACAAAATCTTTACAGAGGAGCCTTTCAGCCGTTACTCACAGAGCTTCAGATTCCCTCAACAGCCACTCTTCTGACAACAACATCAACAACAACAACAGTAGTGGCAGCAGGAGTGAGAACCACAAGAGGAAGACCTCCCAGCACCAAGAGCTCATGACTCGTTTCAGTTTCTCTCTCTCTCTCTCTGTGTCCTGTTACTGTCACCTAAAGCAGAAACTTGAAACAGCAGGTGTAATAGGAGAAATGATGTGCAGACAATAAAGGGCAGCAAGAGATAGATGCTACAGGGACGAGATCCTGCAGTGAGCGTAATTGTTGCAGGGCGGAGAATTATCAGACATGCATCACTGCAGCATTACAATATCAGAGTAAATAAATGACAAATGAAACCACTTCAGCTGTGATTCTGTGCTCACAGCAGGGGAGGGTCCTGGAAAAAGATAAAGTAACCCCCAATTTCCACCGCATCCTGAACGGCTACGAAAAGGCCGTATCCGCCGACCATGGCTTATCATCACCATTCAAGTTAACGTGTCAATTTCCACCGACTTCTTTCCGTTCATCTGCGGATCGCCGGACTCCGCAGCTGATCACAAGCGTTCTATTTTTTCCGGACGCCGGAGCATGCTAGATAAATTCAGCACAGATTAACTCAGCTGGAAAGGAAGTCACGAGCAAGTGAAAGGTTTCTAGACGTCAGAAGCGGTGGAAATCTTGGGTCAGTCCCTCAAGGCATTGGCGATATTGCGTACTATTAGTTCAAATTCAACCAATCACCGCGAATTTCCTGCAAGTTTAACCAATAAACTTGTGCTGCGTTCAAGTCGGAAAAAAGCAAACTCGCAGGCGGAAACAAGACAGCTACATCTACGAAAGTTATTTTAGTGCTTACCTTGTCCGAATATATATTTTTTATCTAATTGTAAGATAGTTTGGCTGCCCTGTGTGCCGGTCAGACAAACAGAAGGGACATACGTCATGTTTTACTCCATGCATTTGGTCCATCTCTGTTTCACTCATGCAGAGGTTTCCATTTCAGGTGTTTCAAACATCTGATGAGAGAACCTCGCTTCAGAGGTTTTCCAGCCTGAATCACACATGCCTATGCTCAACATTTAAGCTTAATCTAACTTTAAACTCCTGCATTTTTGACTTATTTTGACAGAATTTGAGCGCCTCATTAGAATAAATCTGAATAACCCTTCAGAGACCCCCACTCTCTCCTTCACCTCCTCCTCCTCCTTCTCCTCCTCTCTCACTCAGATGTCCTCAGGAATGCTTCACACCCTCAGCTCCTGATTGATGACTCCCTGCAGACGCTCTTTACAGTGTTCTACAGCCTTTGCCGTTCCATCGATTCATGGATGGGATCCCTGAGGAGCAAAGCGAATCAACCGATTACACCGGGCTCTTCTCTGATCCTTTTCAACCTTTCCTGGAGCTGCAGGAAGTGAAGCTGAGGGGTTAAACATGAAGTACTGATATTTAAAATTCACGTGTGGAGGTTTCACGGCTCCCCTGGGGTCTAAGTGCCGTACTGAACCATCTGAAAGGACCTGGATCCTGAAGAGGAAAACCTGGAGAATATAAAGAGTTCTTTTACAGATTGAATTGAAGCGTGTTTTT